GGATCTAATAAAAGCTTTATGGAGGGTCAGTTAATGTTAGCGCTCAATCGCTCACTTCTGAATAGGGAATATACTCTAATGAATGTTCTGAAGGCCTTGGCTTCGATCATTTCTATGTGTAATCTCCGTGTAACTTTCTTATCGAAGATTACACCTAGATATTTTGTACTATTTACAAATGGAATATTTCTTCCATTTAGAGTAAGACAAGACTCAGGCGGTCGACGACCACGAGAGAAGTAGACCCCCTGAGTCTTATATTCATTAAATTTTATATTCCAGCGCTCACACCAGGTGATGATTGCTGGGTTGGAGCTGTCGTTTATACCACTCTTGGTGGGCAGAGATTAGACTTGTTGTTGCTATTGTGAGCGCTGACTGGCTAGCGCGTGTAATGATTACGATTGAGCTGGGCATCGAGCGCTGTATAAATATGAGTGGTGGCAGCAATGTGATCGGTTAGCGTGCGTGATGGTGAAAAGTGAGTTGGACAGCGGGTGCTGTATAAATATGAGATCTGACAGCAATGTGCAGGCCTGATGATCACATTGAAAATTTGTGGTTCAGAGATTGATTAGAAAAATGAAGGGAGTTGGATTCGGAGAGTGATAGGATTCAGGATTGGTTGTTGAGTAAGGAATGAGGTCGATGAGTGAGAATTTGTCTGTTCGACAAGATTCGAGATTGGATGCGAAATTTGGAAAATTTTGGTAATTGAAATTTGGATTGTGCGTTACTGAGTGAATTCTTAGTGTGTGTCTTAGGCAACATTGCTTGTGGATTCAGTGTGGGCAGTGAGTTGTGTCTTAGTGTCTTGTATACTTATACGTCAATACTCGGCTGGGTTGTTGAATCTGTAAGTGTCGGGCCAGAGATGGCTGGCGTCCGTGTGCCGGGGTAACAGGCATTCTGGGCCGAAAAACGAGCCGCTCTACAGGCCGAATTTAAAGAAATTATTAAGAAGTACCCCAATGCCGAAACCCAGTACAGGCGCTTATTCGACATCCTGTGAACATTGAGGATGTGACCGGCTTCACAACTGCTGCGATTGGAGAAAGTGCAGAATGGGCGGCAATAGTCAGCGCCTCCGATGACAATAGGATTAATTACTGCAAGGCCCTCTCTGGCAGGACGCTGTTCAGTGCACTGTATGGAAACTATACAGTTACGCTGAACGAGCTAAAGTCCCTGGTAAAGGCCAGCGCATCAGGCACTAAAATTCCAGGCCGGGAGGAAGGCTTCAAAGAAGTCCGGAGGCGGAAAGGACAGAGTACCGCTGAATCCGCACCGACTCCAAAGAAAGCAACGGCAATCGTCGAAAGCAACCCCAAAACAGAGGTTACCACCAAGAACTACTTCAGCCCCCTCAGGGCGGCAACGATGGAACCATGCACTTCTGTTGCCGAAGCCACTACACTGGAGGAGGAAGCTCCAGTTAAAGCAGGTAGGCTTCCCCCGATAATACTAACGTCCACAATCAATCTTATTCAGTTTCAAAGACAACTGAAAAATGTGGTCAAAGGCGACTTTGAGTTCCGCAATACCAAAAGCGGGACCAGAGTCATCACTAAAAGCATGGCGGATTTCGAAGCCGTCAAGTCTCATCTATCCAACAATAAACTTTCCTACTATACCTTCTTTCCGAAGTCCCAAAAACCCATAAAGGCTGTAATCCGTCACCTCCCTCACAATACCCCTGCGGAGGATGTTTCTGATGGACTGGTGACCCTGGGATTTGATGTGGTTAGCGTCAAACAGATGACAACCACCCGAGGGTCGCCTTCAGAAGAAAGGATATCAAGGAAACTTCCACTATTCCTTCACCCTACCCCGGACGGCAAAATGTCGAGAAATTTTCCATCTACAAAGCCTTTGCCACATTCTCATCCGGGTTGAGGCATATAAAGCACAGAGTGGCCTTACGCAGTGTCACAACTGCCAAGAGTTTAGCCACGTCTGGGCTAATTGTAAACAACCTCCCCGTTGCATGTGGTGCGGGGGTGGCCACCTGCACAAAGAGTGTCCAGAGAAAGAGAACGCTACCTCCACTCCAGCTTGTTGCAAGTGCCAGTTGAAGGAGTGAGAGAAGCCCCATCACGCCAAATATCGGAGCTGCAGACACGCGAAGGAGGAGCTGCAGAGGAAGAAATCGCAGAGAGCACCCAAAATCACAACTGGGTGTTCTCCTCAAATATCACTACTCCCGGTGTCTCATTCGCGGCGGAGCTCCGAGGCAGCACATCACAGGAGCAGCGGCCTCAGAATGGCCAAGTTCCAGTGGCAGCTCCACCAGAAGCCACGAAACCGAGCGTCCCAGTCCTTGTACAGGAACAACAAACAGGTCAGTCAGTTCGGGCTCCAATGGTGAACAGTCAGCCCCTCGACAATCTGTTGAGAGTTGTGACTGTAGTACAGCAGATTATGACAGAGTTCAATGGTGCTGTGTCAGAGGAAGAGAAAATATTGGCTGTCACAAAAATTGTATTAAACCTAATGAACCAAAATGGCCACTAGAGTTCATAGGCCCCTTAAAGTCATAGCATTTAATGCGAACGGCATTGGGAGGCAGCGCTATGAGCTCAGTAAACAGCTGCAAGACCTACACGTAGATGTGGCCCTGTTTTCAGAGACACATCTGAAACTTCATGAGAGGTTCTTTTTTCCAAATTACCACTTTTATAGAATCGACCGCCACTCAGGCGGAACTGCCGTTGCAGTAAGAAACGGCATCCCCCATAACCATGTAGACCTACCGCCCCTTGTTTCAGTAGAAGCGACAGGGGTCTGCATACCAATTGGTAATAGCGAAGTGCTGCTTGCAGCTGTTTACAAATCTCCAGGCTTTGCCTGGAGAGATGCTGACATCACTGAGCTCTTCGCGTCCGTGCCGTGTGACTTCTCTCATATATTTGTATGCCTCCATGACGTGCGCCAATATTCACGTACGTGAGACAGCGCTCGTGTGACATTAGCCTTAAGCTTTAGACGTAAGACTATTTTGGCAGGTGATATGAATGCTAAGCGCCAATTTTGGAATAGCAGTGTTTCAAACCCCTCAGGCTTGAAACTCATTGATTTATTTGATAAGAGTTATTTCGAAATCTCAGCGCCACAGTGCCCCACTCATTATCCCCCTGCGGGAAATGGTGACGTGTTAGACATTGTGGTTCATCAAAATATCAGAGTGTCAGATGTCATCGTCTCTGATTCAGATAAACTACCAATAGTATTCCACATACTGGATCACGTTAAAATTATGAATCTTTCGGAACCCATTGAAAAATTTACAGATTGGGAGCGGTTTCAAAGCCTCGCTACTGAATTAATATGACCTAAACTAAAAATTAAATCGGGGGTTGAAGCCAATAAAGCGGCACGCGACTTTGCAGCTTCTATAGCTTCGGCGTATAGGTTGTCGACAAGTAAAATTACACTTTCGGACATAAACAACGATCTTCCTGGTCTAGATCGTTTGATAAAATATAAACAGAGGCTACGAAAATTGTGGCAAGAAACCAGGGATCCAGCGTGTAAAACGGCAGTCAATTGGGTCACCAAATCAATCGGGCGAATGACCCGTAAAAAAGCACTTGAACGGTGGGAAACAAAAATAGGTAACGCTGAAGTCACGCCTCAGAGTATATGGCCCATTGGGAAATCTCTCCTTAAGAGAGACGGACCAAGGGCACCAACTGCTATTCATGGTTCTTCTGGCCTTAAATTTCATCCTTCTGAAAAAGCCAACGAAACTGCCGACTGTTTGGAAATTCAGTTCACGCCACATGACCTGTGCGACGAAAACCATGAACAGCGGGTGGACGCTAGAGTTCTAGCTCTGCTGGAAGCCGTAGATGACAACCCCCCTCTAAGGATCGGACAATGTGACGTTCAGAAATTAATAAAATCCCTGAAACTAAAAAGGGGATGTGGAATTGACGGCATCCCAAATGAATGCCTCAGGCACCTTCCAAGACGACAATTGGTTCACCGTTCACCTAACCCATTTACTCAATCATTGTTTTCGG